ATGCTAGTGAGATCTTCTATGTTTCTATGTAGACTTGATAGAATTCAATAGTAGTAAAAGGAACTAGGTCACTTTCATACCAATCTCTATGTAATCTCCTCTAGTAACACTCAGCCTCTGGAATAGGTAATTAAAAAAAAAAAAAGGTTTATGTCTAGTTTTTATGCCAGGCTCCACAAATAGAGCACACAAGAAATAGGAAATTAAATCTATATTTAAGATTATATAGGAGAGACCAAGGAATTCACATTTCTTTGTCTTTGGAGAGAAAATTACTAAAAGCAACAACAAATTCAGGCGATGTGTGTAAAAGGTAATTTATCCACTTAGCCTCACAGGTAATTTAACGGATTTTTCCCCCCCTGTTTTTAAAAGCATATTGTTTGGCTATTTGAACTGTCTTGTTTAGTACCTCGCAGATATGCTGTCAATCATCTTTGAGCTTAAATGAGCTTTCGTTAAGAGGACTGGTCCTATAGAATCCCCCAACCCATCTCAGAGCTACAGTGGGGAGCACAATACAGGAGCCTCCCCTTTCTTCTTTGCTTGCTTGCTCGCTGGGTATCCGTTAGCCCGTGTCCTCTCCCTGCCACCCACAACTGCAAAATTTTATCCCCGAAGATGTAACACAGCCTCATGCCAGCTTGAAATAAAGTTCCAGCTAAGCCCAGTTAATACTCCTGCCTAAATATTAATTGGCAGCTTACTTTCATCCTTGTCTTATTTCATGGCGTTTTGTCCTACGGGATTTTGAGAAACCCAAGGATATAATTCTTGAAATGTTTCATATTTTTGTTTACCCGCATTTTGTTTTCTATTTCCAAGACCATGAGAATAAACCATTCCTGTTAAGAGATATGGCTCAGAGTAAGCAATACCCCCCATCTCCCTCACCTCCAGGAGGGTCTGTGGTACCATCACGTCCAAGACTTACAATATATGACACACTGAATTGCAATCGTTTGTCCTCATGTCTGGCTCTTAGCTGGTGAGGGCAGGAGCCGTGATCTGCTGGTCTGGAAGGCCAGGCACATTTCAAAAATATGTTTTCCAAAGAATGCCTGGTAGTCTAGGGTAGTAGAGTTATCTACATCAGAATTTAAGCTTTGTCACCTAACTCTGTGTTCTAGAGAAATCTCTTAATTTCTTCATCCGCAAAATGGGATGATTTCTTCCCTATCCACCTCTGAGGCTCAAAATGGCTAACATGCATTTTCTATACTTCTCTCCATACTCCATACTAAGAAGTTTGTAGTTTCTTTGGTATATTTTTAGAAAGATAAGCTTGGATTTTCTGGGGAATATTCCTGACTCTCCTGACATTCGTTTAACTCGTTTTTGGGACGAGCCTACTGTTGCTTATACAGTTGTTTCATGGTTCTTACACATGTGCTTTGATTAAATTAATTCCAAGCTGTAAGACCATATTCTACATGAACTATTCCCAAAACTGGTTTTAAAAAACAGCTGCTTTTATGATAAACTCAATATCAGAATAATGTCCTGCTTGTACACAGTTCATTATTCCTTCAGAAACCAGGGGAAGCAGACCAGGGCTTCTAATAGCCAAGAATGATGTTCAAAAATTCTTTAGTGTCCTATCGCCTTCAATTCACCCAGTGAGAATGTGGCTAAAATCAGATTTTCTATTTTGTCTGCACAGGGTTCTTTCTGTGACAGCTTGCCACCAGCCAGATTAGTATAGATGCTCATTAATCAAGGCAGGTCAAAATGTCAGTGTTCTCACTCTGGGTGCTCTTTGTACCACATAGAAGGATGGCAGACAGGCAGCAAACACTAAGCAGGTTTGCTGTGCGAATGCCAATTAACTTGTGAGGGGCTCCCTTTGTTTGGTGGGAGGACATACAGCACAATGGTCCAAAGAATGGCTTCTGATGTTACTCAGACCTGAGCTCACATGCTTCTTTTGCTTTTTTACAGGTTTTGTAACTTTGGAGCCTTTTTTTTTTCATCTGTAAAATGGACATACGCCTACCTCCGTGATAGGCACAATACAACCGTGATGAGAATTAAACGGAGGATCTTGCTCAGCACAGTGCAGGTGCTCAAGAAAAGGTAATTATATTACTTGTAACAACCACTAGTGTTAATTATAATGATAGGAATCACATTGTAATACCAATTACATTAATAATAATAATACAGCTTATGCTTGCTAGGTGCCCTCTGAAGAACTTGTGAACATTAACTCATTTCATCAACACTCTCTGTGGGACTATTGCTCCAGGTTTACAACAGACCCAAAGAGATTAGGGAAACTGCCCTCAGGAAAGGGCAGGTTTTGAACTCAGGCAATTCAGCTTTAGAACCAGAGTTCTTCACCACCATCCCATACCACTGATGCTTTTCTGCCCAACGATACCGCTGCGGACGTGGTGTTTTAGTGACATGAGCGACAGTTTTTTGGATGGTGCAAGAAAGAACAGTGTACCGCAATTCTGTGGCTTGTCATAGGTTATCTGCCTTTGACACCCACGGCAGTTTGTGTCCACTAGATGGCACTGTTGTTCAATCGAAATGTGAACCAAGTCACTACTTAGGTTTGGGAGCCTACTAAACTTGGGAATAGCAGCAGGGCAAGCCAGTTGCATCCCTCAAAGTCTGATGGAAGAAACCCCCAAAACTTTACAGCATAGCTAGAGATCCCTAAAGACTAATGGTATGGAGAAATAGTTAGGAAAAATATATGCTAGTTTTTTCTGGGTGTTGATGTCTGTAGAAACTCTGGGTGAGTTTTGAAATCATCTAGTCCAAATGCATCAGTTCATAAACAGACCGAGGGCCAGAGAGGAAAAGCTACTGGGAGATGCGCACCCAGACCTGATGGCTTTGGCTGCAGTTCTCTCTCCCTAATACTTCCAACTGATTCTAAATCACAAAGAAATTGCAGTTCCTGAATTCTTAGAAGCCTTTCCTTTGGGGTATGGGGCAGAAGACTGCCCAAAGATTATGAGTTTCTGCCTCATTATGTTTTATACGTATATTCAAAATCAAGACCAGACTCAGATACTTAGATATGAAGGAGGATGAAAGCAAAAAATGGTGCCTATTTCTTTTTCTTTTTAATATGTCTCATTGGAAAGACTAAGTGACTCCACTTTATTTATTAAAAAAATTTTTTTTAAGAGAGGGAGAAAGGGGGAGGGGCAGAGGGTAAGGGAGAGAGAGAATCTTAAGCAGGCTTCATGCCCAGTGTGGGGCTCAATCTCACAACCCCAAGATCATGACCTGAGCCAAAATCAAGAGTTAGATGCTTAACTGACTGAGCCCCCCAGGCACCTGGAGCAACTCCACTTTAAAAAACTGACCCAGTTGGTTGACAGTGCAGTTTGTGGATATTAAACCCAGAGCAGGTAGCAGGATAATGGATAAGCAAAAGGACTGGAATCAGACTGCCTGGATGGAACCAAAGGACACAGGAAAGGCCATGAGACACCCCTAAGCCTCTGTTTCCACATCTGTAAAATGGGAATATTTTTACTTATAAGACGTTTGTGAAAATTAAATGTGTGTGAAGTGCCTATGACATAGTTAAAAAACCAAGGTTAAGGGTAGCAATAAAAATGAGTATTTGTCATGATAGCTGATGCTTAGTTTTCTGTATCTCTCAGCTGTGAATGTCATTGCAGGTGCTTTGTCAACAACTTCTTTACTCACTGTCACATGCTAAATTGCTAAAAAAAAGAGACATAATGTTTCAGGTTTTATAACTGTGTAACATCACATCTTCCTCAACCAGATGGTAGAAGTAGCCAAGATACATATGGCATGTACTTCATTATGTGTTCACATCAACTTTATTTAAAACACTCGTAGGCTTTGGGCTCCTACTCATAGTTTAGACAGAGAAGGTGACTGGCATGCAAATAATAACCATTGAACACTTGCTGAGTGTCAAACATTGCTCTGTTTTGCAAGTATGAACTCATTTAATTCTTACTACGACTGTGTGATCTAGGAACTAATACTTTTCCTTTTTTAAAGATGAGCAAGCTGGGATCCAGGAACTTGGGCTCCAGCTTAAATAATAAGCCAGAGTTAGCATCTGAACTCAGGTGGCCTGGTTCTTAGTGACCCTGGTTCTGCCACCTCTCAGGGCAGGATATGAGGAGGAGGCTTCTCCAAGGTTCCCGAGGCCTAGATCACTTCCCTCCCCCCCCATACCAAATAACACAATGAAGCCTGATAGAGCCACTCTTCATGTAGCTCTTCTAGGCTACTGTTAACAGGCAACTTCATGAGCCAGGAGGCTCATGGATTAAACTTACATCAATATTTTTATGGCAGTTAGTTAATGAGATCAACTGGTTAAACATTTAATAGACTCCTGAGCTTAACAGGGTAAAATAAAGCTGCAATATTCAGTGTAACTTATTGGTTGCTCATATGTTCTGTAACATTCCAGACTACCCTCTTTTCACTGCCAGGAATTTAGACTCTATTCCCAGGTAGAATTCTTGAATTCAGATTTACAAGAGACATAGTGGTCTTCTGGTCTACCCCTCTGCCTTTAAAAAGAAGGAAACTGAGGTACCATTTGCTTCTGGCTAGTCCCAAGTTATCTTAGAGGAAGAGCTGGAGCCCTGTTCATTCAGGTATTACATACTGCTTCTACATCCCTTAGCTATTTTATTTTGAATGGTATCACTCTGAATAGTTGCTGAAATTCTCCTGTTTATAGCAATAACAGTTTTCCTTCAGTGATGAACCCAAATTCAACAGAGAGCATCTGTTCTTTACAGATAGCATCTTCCTGTTCATCATTTCTTCTTTCTTCCTTCACTTGACATCAACTTTTATGGGGCAGGGGACCAATGACATTTATCACAAAAAACTTTTAAATCAAATAGTGTTTTTCGCTAGAAGCCACGCACGCAAGCCATCGAACCTAGACCTATGACCACGACCATAATACACAGGACCAAGGCGACTTCAAAGCAGAATTGCCAAAAAGGAGCTGGGAGGCCACTCCCACTTACCGATTTCAGTCATCGTTATCCCTGGTGCTAGCTGCCCATTGTTGAAAGAGCTATAGGTAAACAAGTTGGGTACGGACGTGAGGTCATAGATGGGTTCTTGCTTTATCTGTTTGATTCCAGTCATGTCAAGTCCTGACTGATCCGGGGACGGCTGGCCGGAATCCACGCTGTAATACCCCTCGGACTTGGGCAGGTCGATGACGTGTCCGTTGGCGTAAGTGCCCCCGGCCTCGCTGTTCAGGCTGCTGAGGCCATTGCTGATGCTGCCGCCGTACACCCTGGCCAGTGCTTCGGCCTCCCCGCTCTGCTGCTGCCGCTGCTCCTGCAGCCGTTGCTGGTGCTTCTGCACCTCAGCATACAGGCTGTCCCTCTGCTTCTTGGACATCCTGCCGAACTTCACAGCTGGGTGGGAGGGCGGAGAGAAAAGCAGGAGAGAACGCTTGGGGTTATCATTTCGGCAAGCCCAAGGCTCAACATCAGATGCACAGAATCCTAGCACCCATAAGCCCAAGAGCGCGTTCATCTGCAGCCGGCATCTGGCGAAAGGTTAGACTCGGGAGGGTCTGTACTGGTTTACGTGCATAGTGAGAAATAACTCTAAGCTACCAAGAAATGTCAAAACTTATGTATTTCTTATTGCCATGAAGTTAGAAGGCATAATCCTGGTTTTTTTTTTTTTTTTTTTTAAAGATTTTATTTATTTGACAGAGACACAGCGAGAGAGGGAACACAAGCAGGGGGAGTGGGAGAGGGAGAAGCAGGCTTCCTGCGGAGCAGGGAGCCCGATGCGGGCCTAGATCCCGGGACCGTGGGATCATGACCTGAGCCGAAGGCAGACGCTTAACGACTGAGCCACCCAGGCGCCCCAATCCTGGTTCTTTCTTATGTGTGGGGAAAAAAAATCCACAAACCAAAAACTACCTAATAATGCCTGCTATTATAATGTCAACGGGGCGCCTGGGTGGCTCAGTTGGTTAAGCGACTGCCTTCGGCTCAGGTCATGATCCTGGAGTCCCGGGATCGAGTCCCGCATCGGACTCCCTGCCCAGCAGGGAGTCTGCTTCTCCCTCTGACCCTCTTCCCTCTCGTGCTCTCTCTCATTCTCTCTCTCTCTCAAATAAATAAATAAAATCTTAAAAAAAAAAATGTCAACGAAAACAGGGGTGCCTGGGTGGCTCAGTCATTAAGCGTCTGCCTTCGGCTCAGGTCATGATCCCACGGTCCCGGGATCAAGCCCCGCATCGGGCTCCCTGCTCGGCGGGAAGCCTGCTTCTCCCTCTTCCACTCACCCTGCTTGTGTTCCCTCTCTTGCTGTGTCTCTCTCTGTCAAATAAATAAAATGTCAACGAAAACAATGAATTGTGGATCACCACATCAAAAACTAACGATGTATTGCATGGTGATTAACATAATAAAATAAAATTTAAAAAAAAATTAAAATGTCAACCAACATTCATTCTTAGCTTCCCCAGGTAAGCACTAGGGTTACTAGATTGTTGGATCGGGCCCTATTATTTCACATTTTCTTTTTTTTTTAAGATTTTGTCAGAGAGAGAGAGAGAGGGAGAGAGAGCGCGTGCGCAGGGAGAGTGGCAGGCAGAGGGAGAAGCAGGCTCCTGCTGAGCAAGGAGCCCCATGCAGGACTCGAGCCTAAGATCCGGGGATCATGACCTGTGCTGAAGGCAGATGCTTAACTGACTGAGCCACCCAGGCGTCCCGTATTTCACATTTTCTAAATAGCATATTCGGTAAGACCAAGGATGTGGTGCAGGGTGATAAACACAATTTTAAGGAAGCATTTGTCTTCAATTCGCTTTTGGGACCAAATTCGAAGAGTCTTTGGAAAATAGCAGTTATGTATATCCCGCGCTTGGCAAGTGATCCCACTGTTACCCTCCTTTCTTGTTCTACCACCCCCAAGTTTTATACTGCCCATCTCTTCTGGAAAAATCCTTAGCCATTCTAAGGAAAAAGGAGGAAGAGGCTCTGTAAGTGGTCACAGGCTAATCTGATGGTGCTTTGGTCTGAATTCATTGTTTCTTAACTAGGAGAGCTTAACCTCCTGAACTGCTATGGATATTGACATTTTTCCTCCCCACAAGCTTTTTTAGTTTTCCTAAACTCCCAGTTTAGGCTGTGACTATTTTAAGCCAAGGGGCCATCTTGTCTGAATCATCAAACACTCCGTCGTTCAGCTCATGTTTAATGGTGGGCACTGTGACAAACATGGAGGTTCCTCTCTGAGTTTCCATTTTCTTTTCATTCCTGACAATGTTCCCATCACCTTTTTTTAAGAAAAGATTTTATTAATTTATTTTAGAGAGAGAGAGAGTGAAGTGAGCAGGGAGAGGAGCAGAGAGAGAGGGACAAGAGTGGAGCCCACTCTGGGCTTCTCACCGCCCTGAGATCATGACCTGAGCAGAAACCAAGAGTTGAATGCTTGATGGACCGAGCCACCCAGGCGCCCCCCTCCCCCATCACCTTTTGGTATTGGGAGCCCAGGGAATGTAGAAAGAAGAAAGTGGAGGTAGAAGCAGGTCCAATTCCTGGATTCAGTCACTAGCGTTGGTGAGCATAATTTCTGAGAAAAACTAAATGAGGAAGTGCTTGAGCTCTCCAGCACAGAGAGTCCCCAGAAGAGACTGCCTACTGTGAAAGAGCTACCATTTCACAACACCCCCGTCCCCTGCCAGGTTCCATCAATGTTCATTTTCTCCTTCTGCTGGTTACAGAGCTACCAAATTCTATCTAAGCATCGGCTGTTCAGAATGGAGACCACATTTCCCAGTCTCCCTCACTGGCAGGTGCAGCTATGTGACTAAGTTCTGGGTGGCAGGAAGTAAATGGAAGTGCCACTTATACTTCTGAGCGTGGGGACATGCTGTCTTCCTCCTTCCTGCCTGCTGGAAGGTTGTGGCTATGAAGGCTGGATTTAGAGCAGCCCAAACTTCCTGTTTCTCCTTAATCCTCCTTTAAAGACTAAGTTCCGGCGCTCCTAAACAGAAAAACAAAGGGGTGATTATATAGTAAGTTTTCTGACTGAAGACAATTCATATGTTTAATTCACACCAAACTCCCCTTTCCACCTCAACTGTCATTTTTAGAGAGTCTGGAATCATTTAGATCATTGTGTTTAACTTTGTTGGTAGAGAAACGGTCTTTGTTAGGTTCTGTTTCTCAGACACACATTTATGTGCTATGATATTTCCAGTTTGTCCATGGACCAAATTCTGAAGAAAATTTTAGGGAAGGCATTCTTTGTACCTTTATAACTTTATAAATAACATATATAACATTATAATAATTTTATAAATAAATTTATAAATAAGTAAATTTATGTTTTATATACATATAAATTCCTTTGGGAAAAAACTTTTTGTATAAGAAAAAATAAACCATGGTAACTTTTGATTCAGAAAGAACATTTTCCCCCCAAGAAATTAACTGACACCCTTCTTTATTTGCTAACCTGTTCTTTGCATTCATGGAGGTTCAGAACAGCCATTTACTACAGAGCTATGCAGGTGGATATAAAATTTCTATCTATTGTAGATTAAAATTTTATTTTGGCTGGAGTAGATCTACTTTTTTTTCTTTTTTTTAATTTGAGAGAGAGAGAGGGAGGAAGTGAGGGAGGGTGACAGAGAGAGAGCGAGCCTGAGCAGGGTGGAGAGGCGGAGGGAGAGGGAGAAGCAGGCTTCCCCCTGGGCAGGGAGCCCCATGTGGGGCTTGATCCCAGGACCCCAAGATTGTGACCTGAGCCCCAAGTAGATGCTTAACCAAGTGAGCCACCCAGACACCCCATGGAGTAGATCTACTTTCTGAGTTACTTTAGTAGAATAGTTTTGCGTTTGTTTAAAATCTATAAAGAAAAAAAAAACTGGGGAGAAACTCCTCTCTCAGGAAGACATAAATGCAATGTCTCTTTTTAAAACCGTTTCCATTTAAACCTTGCTTCCGATTTCCATACACTCTATATTTAGGTGAAATATACATTGCCGTGGATTGACTGCATTGATGACCCTGATTCCTCTTACCCATCCCCCCACCAAATACGCACAGTAGGCCCCCTGCCCCACCCTTGTCTCAGGGTCATGTGACCTGCTTGGGGCCAATGGGAGATAGACATGTGACACAAAGAGAGGCTTCAGAGGTGCTTGTGTGATCGAATATCTCACTAGGAAAAGGACGTGCCTCAACTAGCTTGCTAGAGGATAAGGTTTGTGAAGCCCAGCCCCAGCCACCTTGATCTTTCCAGACAAGGCTATCTGCCTTCAGCGGAGGCACAGACTGACCTATAGCTGGTGGCAGATGAATAAGTGAACCCAGTTAAGACCCTACATTAAATAATTTTAGGTCCAGAAATCTGCTCTTAACCATAGATCTCATAATCAAAGCAAACGATGTCAAATAAGTACGCTGTCAAGATCTCTGCCCTGGTAAACTTCTGAAAACCCAATGGTAAATAGTTATGCCCTTTCCAAGGTACTGACTTACCATGTCACTGAACTGAAATATTTTCAGAGACAACTTAAAGCTCTCCTACATTTTGGAATTATCCGGCTTCATCCTAAATCAAGAACGTTGCTGACAATTACTATACTATTTTAGAATAAATTTTCCATTCATTTCAGAAACTTCGGTGAGCCAGTGTTTCAGTTTTGTGCCCCTTCCTGTAACCAAAGTAGTGACATATTTGGGGAAAAGGATTCCAGTACATGGAACAAATAAATCTACTGAAAACTCTCCTTAAAAGGCTAAGTTCTGGTGCCCTCCTGACGTATATATACATATAATTCCTTGTCACCATTTGTAAAAACATTTGTTGTATTCATAGGCCTATTTCTAACAAAGGCCGTATTACTATTATATTTTCAAGTATTAGCATTCTTCTTACCACTACTCATTAATCAGAATGGCACATATTTTAAGTGTTTGCCCCTCTCAAACTTGAATTATTCTGTTGATGATTTTCACTTGAGTATAGAGGCAGCCACTTGTTAAACTGCTAGCTCTCAAACTCGCATGATTCTGTATACATCACAAGGGCTTTATAAATATTCAGTGATGATGGTATTTGCTTACGATATGCTCTTATCACTCATCTTGATCCCACACTAGCAAGGAACAATTTTATGCAAAATATTGGGAATCTTTTCATATTTATTTGGATTGTGGGGTTCTAAATGGAACAGCAGTTTTTTGGAGTAATTATAAAACAAAGTCAGATTCTTTGAAGATTTCTACTTACCAACACATGACATCTAGATATGGGTTTTTGGCTTCAAGAGAACCCAATTGTAGAACTATCATAGTCATTTTGGAAATTATTTTATCTTACAATCTTTTGGTTGTAAAGTTCTCTATGCTTACATCTTGCTGCTTACCAAGGAAACCGATCTTAATTTAACTCTTTTCAATTTCAAGGATGTGCCTTTTTTTATAGTGCTCTAAGCTTTGTAGAAAAGATCAGATTCAACCTACCCAACCCTATTCGTAATTTAAAAATATTCTCTCTCATCCCTCTCCTTTCCCAGCAGAACTTCCTGTGATGCTCGAATGTGCTCTATGCTTTCCAAGATGGTAGCCTTAAGTCACATGTGTTTACTGAGCACTTGAAATACAGCTAATGTGAGTGAATAGGTGAATTTTAAATGTAATTAAAAATCAAATTTTATCTAATTTAAATTTAAACTTAAATTTAAATAGTGACATGTGGATACCATTCTGGATATTGGACAATGCCATTCTGGAGAAGTAGAAGCCTCATCTGTTAAACCTGTCTTTGTAGGGCAGCTACTGTTTTTTCACAGATGCACGTCATATAGGAGGGCACACACTCAATTATTGCAGGGTGAGTACCATGCTTTCTCTTTGGGGCCCCAAATCTTCCTACTGACACCAAGCATTTTTTTTCTGGGTTTTGTTTGTTTGTAGTAGTTGGAAACAGTTTATCCTGAAGAATCCTGCAACTACCGTTTGTGAAGGGTCCATTAAAAAGAAAAATAAATAAGATGGTGGAGAAGATTTGGTGGGCAAATTTGTTATTGCTGAGTTTTTTGTCTACTCATGTATGGGCCTTGACTAATAAACCACTATAGAAGTAGAAATTCAGGAAATAATGAAATTCAGTGATTTTAACAGTTATATCAAGCTATCTGTCTACAAGTAGCCACGTTGCTTTGGTGACCAGGTTAGGTGAAATAAACATTCTTGGTGCCACGTATAACTGACAGAAAGCAAATGCAAATAGCAAAATGAAGATGCCACTTTTTGTCTGGAGGAAGATGGGCAAGGTGTATGTGGAAAGAAGTTAGGTGTGAGGGCATCTTACCTTGGTTACTGGTACTACCACTGAAGCACCTTGAAAATACTTGCCTAATCAGTAGAAGCTAAGTATAATAAATTAGTGGCAGGGAAAGTACCACCTCTCATTCTTGAGTCCTTACTAGATATAGATAATCGACCATAACTTTAGGGCTTTTGAAATCATCAACCCACAAACAAGGCATTACATATCAACAGATTAAACCTAGTCAGCTACCTTGGTATTGATATAGTTTATTTGCTATAAGGTACCCTTTATAATCAAGGTTCAGATGAAACTTCCTCTACACAACGTAGTCAAGAAGAATTGTTTTCCCTTAGAAAGAATCATCTTTTGCTTCTGCTGGAGCCTCTTAGCCTCCTTCCCAACCACTACTCCCATCCCTGAGCATTTCTCCTCATTATTAGTTTGACATAAGACATGTTTAGGACATCTTTTTGAAGATGTCTCTGGCAGCCTCAGGACTGTCTCTGGACCTATCTAAGATGGATCATTATCCTGCAACCCCAGGATCCTTAGACATTGTATTGCTGTTACTTGCAAGTTTATGTGCAGTAAACTTCTTCCCCCTTGAGAGTAGACTGGGGCTCTGTCCATTAAATAAGCCTTCCTTCCAACAATTTCTTTTATGCCATGGGATTCAGACAATCTCCTAGATTTTGAGAACATTGGACCATATGCCTATTGCACATAATTCTGTTCACCAGCATGGACTCCCAAGACCTGCCCTTTCAAAAGAGACACTTTCTTTTATTGTAGGAAGAAGTAACAAAGACAAATAATCAATGGCTTATTCTTTTTGCTCAATTATTAATATATACTGCCAATTCATAGACTGTCAATTAATATGCTGCCTCACTATGGTGAAAATGAGGTATAAAATCATCAACTCAAGTTCCCATACAATTTCACCAAATAAATCCTTAAAACCACTAAATCCCCATCCTCCACCTTCTTCACTTTAGTTGTGTGGGAGTACACAGTGCAACAGATTTACCCTAGGAGTAATCTACACAGTTAGCAAGTCTAGAAAAACAAAAAGTCAGTTAGTTAATAGAAAAGTTTTGGAAACTTCTATCTCTGCAACTTTAGAAGCTACCTATAAACTTCTTTCAATGTTTTTGGTCAAATTTGTCTCCTAGGTATACTTTTATGCAGGGAAAAGTTAGGTGGGTTGGGAAGTAGAAAAAAGGTAAACAAAAATTTATGATATAAGTATTTTGAGAATGCAAGCTAAGAAATAAGCAGTTTATATGTTTAGATATCAAGACTTATGGAGAACTGATTTCATTCAAATGAGTAAAAGGCTCACAGTAACTTAATAACTCATAAAATCCCTTTATACCAAGAGATGGTACATGCCAATTACCCATATTTCTTTAAAGTATGAAAGCCAGCCTGCCTGCCTGCCTTCCTTCCTTCCTTCCCTCCCTTTCTTCCTTTCATCCATACTACCTTGAACTTCATTAGAAGGAGTGTGACCAGAGGTAGAGAATCCACAATGATTCACATAAAGAGAAAAAGTCCCAGGGGTACTGTCTGTGTCTCAGGCTCTAGGTAAAAGAGAATTCCACCGTTCATTCAACAAACCTAAAGAGGTGCCTGCTTTTAACCAGACCCTGAGGATACAGTGAGAACAAGACAGAAATGCCCCAGGACTCAGGGTTACTCACAACCTGATACAGGAGAGCTGTAGCCAAAGTCAGTGGGGAAATAATTAGTTGAGATGAGTGCTTAAAAATGGAAGCAACACTCGATGAAATTCTTTGTGTGAGTTTATTTGTTCTCTTTCATTAATCTAAGAAATTCAGTTGGGGACCCACCTCACCCACTTGGGCCATATTACGAGAAGGACACCACCCACACAGCCCTTTCAAGACTTGGACTTCTGTTATAGCCTTTGCAATTTTCATGATGCTTCACAAAAGTCCATGCCCAATAGTAGAACTTCTGGGCTTCCTACAGAAATGCATGCTGTTCCTTAACATCTCCACATACCAAGCAACTTGTGCACCTGTCAGACTTACCCAGTGACCAAATGGTCCCAGTTTGCCTGAAACTTTCCCTGGTTTCGGCTCTGAAAATCTCATCCTAGAAAACTGCTCATGCGTGGGCAAACCTAGATAAGTTTCAACCTAGGCCTATGTGGCTCTCACCAAACCTTGTTAGCACAGGTTGCTCCCTGAGTTATAGTGAAGTCTTTCCTTTCTTCCTACTTCAGAGGCAATACAATGTTTTTATACGTTCTTACTTTTCCTCTTCATGCACTACCAGCACATGGTTTTCTTTTCTTTGTATCCCCAATTCCCTTTGTCTAGAATCATTCTGGTGGTTTAAACAGACTCCAGCAAAGGATCCATGTGAAAGCCTTTAAGTAAAAAACAGGAAGTCAGTGTCTCACCATCTCTCGACATTCCTAGGGCAAGACACTTTTGCAGTCGGCAGTGTTGGCAACGGTTTCTGTTTGTTCTGTCGATTAAACAGTTTCTCTGCCTTGGGCAGGAATAAGAGGCATTGTTTTGCTGGCTCCTCCTGAAGAAGCCCTAGAAGCCAAAAGAGAAAGGGAGGGAGATCGATTTATAAGAAGGAAAATGGAGATAATTAACTTATACATCTTTGCTACATTTTCTACAGTGACTGGAACAGAGTTTGTTTAAAAAATTTTTTTTGACACTTCTCCCTGGTTAGCTTACGGATGTTTCTACTGGGGAAAATATGTACTATCAGCAGAGAGATGAAGGTATCTTTCATTCATTCAATCAATGTTTACTAAAGACATCTGTGACCTGTGTTGTTCTATACAAAGAAAAACAGAACAGAGCTCCTGCCCTCAAAGAGCAGTGAGTGGAGAAGGCGTGGCAAAGGACAGTGTCACTGCCAAGCCAAGTAGGACAAAACGTGATGGGGACAATAACACAACCTTATGGTAAGTGCTGTGGGGGTGAGGAACTTGGGGTGTTGGTCATAATAGCTGTACTGAGGAGGGCGGGCGCAGCATGTACCACGATCTTCCTAGTTTCTAAGATGCATTTTTACCTATTTGAAAAATTTTAAATTTGGCCAGAATGCATCTGGAAGGTTGTTTTTTAAACCAGTGATATGCCTTATAATTAACCTCATCTTTAAATAAAGGAAATATGGTATATAAAATCTTCAATAAAAATAAGCAATAAGTAAAAGCTGAACTCATGCTCTTTGCTTGGCCTCAGGCTAGGGAGATGTACGAGGTTTTCATGCAAGTAAGTTTGGGTTTTTCGGGTACAAACTTAACTGCCATGGACCAGACACTACCCTCCTAAATAAATCCATAGCTGAGTTATGGATTGGTCATCTTACAGAAAATCCTACAGGGGAAAATCTGGGTTTCCTCAATTATCAACAGAAGGATAGAGCAGGGGTAGGACTAGGGTTGCAGCTAGTGTGGCATCCATCTTGGCCACAAAATTTGATAATAGCCAAAAAACTTGCTAATCAGGATAAGTAATATTTTAACACAATATATTAAGAATCAACATTAATGCAAAACACCCCAAAAAGTTTAAAGAGGATCAAGATTATCGATTTTCCTTTAGTTTGGGGCTCTCATATGGCATGGCATGGCACGTGAAGAGAGCTTGGCCACTCTTGTGAAGAACTACAGAAATGGATGTGTAGCCTGGTATCTTTTTAGAGAGAAAAAATGCCAACCGGTTTTGTGTTGTAAGCCTCAAGCCATTCAAAACAAGGAGTAGTTTGGTGCCCAAAGATCCATGTGTATTACTTAGATAATATGTTGGGAACCATTTGTATAGGGAATACATCATTTCAATCCCTGGGGGCTTGGATGAGAGCTCTATTTTAAAGGGCTCCATGAATTCATTCGAACTGGACAAATGGTTCCCAACATATAATGGTGCAATTTATGATTTTTTGACTTTACAGATGGTGTGAAAGCAGTACGCATTCAGTAGAAACCATACTTTGAATGTTGAATTTGGATCTTTCCCCAGGCTAGTGAGAGGCGGTATGGTGCCCTCTTGTGATGCTGGGCAGGGCAGCAGCCTCAGCTCCCAGTCAGACTGGCGATCACGAGGGTCAACAACCCCATGCACTCCCAGCCATTCTGGTTTTCACTTTCAGTACAGTATTTTCAATAAATTACATAAGATATTCAACACTTTATTATAAAATGGGCTTTGTGTTAGATGATTTTGCCCAACTATAAGCTAATGTAAGTGTTCCCGGCACATTTAAGGTGGGCTAGGCTAAACCATGATGTTGGGTAGGTTAAGTGTATTAAATGCATTTTTGACTTAAGATATTTTCAACTCACCCTGAGTTTGCAGGGACATAACCCCCATGTAGGTCAAGGAAGATCTGTACCATCAAAGCTGTCAGAAACCATAACTTTGGCCCATCAGTCTTGATAAAAGAGGACTTGGAATTTACATTTTAAGAAAGAATTGGTGGTTTTTATCTTTGGATACTCTAGTGCCACTTAGCAAAAGAGCTGACAGAGAAGACTTTTGAAGTCACAGCTACAGTCCTAATTTAAGGCCAATTTGACATTAATTACAAGGCATTTCTTGCTTATCTGTTGCTCATTATTGCAAATGAGGTCTTTGGCATGAAAAAGAGATTGTTTCAAATTTTATTGAATGAGGAGGAATTTGAATAAGTGCACAAGCTGAATTGATGTTATTTGAAATGGGTTGTTTATGTTGACTCAAGAGCCGTATTATGAAAATTCAGAGGTTGATACTGAATGTGAGGATTCTGACATCTTATTCTGAACAGAGTTTCTTGAGTTTTCTATTTGGAGAAAAATGCAGCATATTTACACATGTGGGTTTTCCCAGGAAATAAAAAAAATTAGTGTCGTGTACAATGTCATTTTGGCTACAACTTCAGAGTATGCTTCTGAACAGCAGTGTAATTTCTAGGATTGTGTTTTCTTCCTTTAAATAGAAAAGATGACAGGAACCTACACACTTGTTTCTGACTATTGACCTGTTGGAATATATTTGTTCCATAGTTAAATCTTCTGGAAACTACTGTTTAAAATGTTTTGCTTGTTAACATGAACATACGCTCATATTTTGAAAGCAGGCATTTTCCTAATAGAACAATGAAACACAAAACATCCACACTTTGACACTGGTCTAAAAAAATGTATTTGGTGGATACTTTGTAAACTAGACCAGAGGACTTAAAATTGCATAATAAACCAACAGAGTGGTGGAAAAGCTTTCCCTGGAGGGTTCAAATTCTAAAATTATTAGCGTTTACGAAGAAAACTATTTGTCTACCTCCCAGAGGTAGTAATATCTTACTCTAAGGAGAGTAAAAAATTACTTATTTCTAATTTTGCTTTATTGTTTTTTCTGATGAGTTGGAAACAATTGCATTAAGGTGTGATAACATGCGATTCTCAATTGTAGGTCTGCAGAGGAAGAGAATGCAAGGCATGTCTCATGATGTTCAAATATGGATTATCACTAATCACCTTTGAAGTAGGATGTTGATGGGTTAGTTACATTCATGTTATTCTTCCCTCTCTGCATCCTTTCCCACTTTATTTTCATTTATTTCTTTTTCTTTTCTTTGCTCCAGTTTCAATTCCAGGAATCATACTTTTTGGAGACTCTTATGAAGACACTGCCAGTTTTTCACATAGCACTATTTGATGGTTATAGTATGTTTTATTTCACGTATATGTGAATCTGTTAGGACTAAGGTTGGTTCTTAGAATCTATGATTGTGCTACATCTCCTTCAGTCTACTGATTTAAAAAATTTTTTTAAATTATTTTTTTAGGTAATCTCTCTACCCAACGTGGGGCTCGAACTCAAAACCCTGAGATCAAGAGTCATGTGCTCTACCAACTGAGCCAGCCAGGGGCCCCCAGTCTACTGATCTTAATGATTCACCCTGCTTCCATCTTTGATCAAAAATATGATTGCTTTCGCCAATAACTTTGCCAAAATATCACTTTTCACTCGCAGAGTGTAGCTGCATTTTGTTTGTTCTGGTGACATTTTGCCCTTTGAAATTAGGTGTGGAACTGTTTTTCATTTCCTCCATGGTATTTAGTCGCTCGCTCGTTTTTTTCTTTCTTTCTAAGGAAGAATTTTAAAAACTTACTGTGAACTTTCAAGTTTTTCTTATTTCAGATTAGGTCTATGTTAACTGCTATTTTCAACTTCATATTTTAAGAGCAACTTCCTCATAGGAATTCGTTTGTCTTTGGTAGGGTTGATTGAATCTCTCCTTGGAGAGGAACACTGGATTGAGAATGAAAAATCTTGTGTTTTTGGCCGTATTTTTTTTACTAACAAGATAGGTGACATTGGCCAAATGATATGATCTTGTTTATATCTCATTATCTCATTGAAAAATGAGGAGGTTGGGGCAGATAATTTTTAATTGATTTAGAGATTATCTGGTACACTTCTGACATTCCATGCTTCTACTTTTATTTTTCTGGAATGTGAGAATAAAGGATGGCCATATGCATATTGCAACTGTTACCTCTGACTTCTTTCTCAAGCAGATAAATAAATCTAGGCCATTGGCTTGTCATCTTTAAGCTTTAGCTGTTTCACCTAGTAATCAATGCCCTTGAGTTTACTCAAGACAATACTTTTAAAACAGCAAGAAGCTGTATTTCTTTCTCTGTAAATGTGACTAATTCAAGCTTTTAAATACCAATCCATTTTTAAGTAGTTGCTGACCAGGTAGGCAATCACAAAAAAGCTGAAAGGCCAAAGAACAGAAAACCAACCCACCCACACACCAAGCAGAAATTCCCATGTGTCAGCAGTAGGCATAAGCATCCTTCAGTGGGCCCTCTTTAAAAAGATGTCACCACATGCACGGGGAGGTACACCAATGCCTGAGGCAAACACGATGCTGTGGGCAGTGCTGTGCTAAAGTCTCCTACCTTGCAGCCTTCACACGTGATCACTCCATAGTGGATCCCGGAGGACTTATCGCCACAAATTTTGCATGGTATCACTTCAATTTGTGCTGAAAGGGGAAAAGAGACATTTTGAGCTTCTTCCTTTTGCTCTCCTGTCTCCCTTCCCACCTCTCCTGGCATGACCTTCGTGTTTGAGGACCCTGGGGTGGGGTCGCCCACCACTATTTGAATGGCTTCATGAAGTTTCTTGTGACTGAAAGGGCAGCTAACTACCACTGTTTGCTTTGTTTTTCTAAGACTGAAAAATATAACCAGGGACCAGAAGTTTTCTAAACTCCTACTTCACTGCTTTCTCCTTTTTAAACTCGACCTGATTATTAAGTTGACTCAAAAATCCCTTGAACCCGTGGCTTTGGTTTTCTTATTTTGCACTTCAAACATTAGGTCACTGAGAACTATCCCACTGCTTTATCTCAACGGTATTTTAAATAAGTAAATAAAGCAAAACTGGAAGGGGTGGTGGAGGCTTTATACATGATGGGGCTGGATGTTTACGTGTGAAAACGTCAACAGTGACATTATTGAGCATACTCCACATGACCATGAAAATAATAAAAGATAAAAAATAATAAAAAATAAAATATCTTGTTGGCACAAGATATGCTCTATTAATGACACAAATAATTTCACTAATACAACAGAATTAATACATGGAGAAATCCGGGGAAAATGATAAAAACAGGTGGCTACTAGGACTTCAATACAAACAAAATAATTTCGTGGAGATGAAGACATTTGGGCTGATTTTGAAGATTGTGTACCATGAGGTTAGGCTGATGTGAAGGGCAAAGGGCATTTCTGCCAGCAGAATGGAATAGAAGCAGTCTGGAATGACACTGGCTCGTGAGCGGTGGGGCAGACACCTGGGCTCTACTGGAAACGTGGGCCACGTGGTTGGGGAGGAGGAGTGATATGAGACTGTGGAGCTCCTAAGAGTGAGGCAGAGGAATTTTCACCTGATACTGCTGGCCGTAAGGATCCAAGGAAGGGAACGGGGTGAAGACATGATGGAAGAGGGGGTGTGGGTCCCTTAGAAAGGTGGGTTCAGCCAGCTAACCAAAAATAAGAAGATCAGTTAAAAGCTATTCCAAACCTCATGTTAGGAGATGAAAGTGTGGATTACATGCATGGCAGGAGAAATGGAGAGGAAGAAGCAAACAGAAAGATAGTTCAATCAGGATCAATGAAAGAAAGGACACAGGTAGAAATCGATGGAGAATCAAAGGTGACTTCTAGCTTCACCCTTGAGGGTTAGGTTCAATAGCAGGTTTGACACAAATGGGGTTATTGGTAAGGCAAGTGCTTTGTGGAATGTGGTGGGGCATGGGATTTCCAACTCGCCTGTGTGCACGAGTAGGCCCCTGTAGACAGAACCTTTTGGAAAGATGATTTTAAGTCATCAGCATCGAGGTTATGGATGAATCCATGAGATAAACTTTATTTAGAATGTAGTAATTCCTATGTCTCTGGTAGTATTCTAAGTGTTGTTAAAATTGTACACACCAGGAAGAGCTGCTATTCCTGTTCCCAATTTAAAATAATTATGCAAAATATGCCTCAAAATGCTTTGTACATCAATCTGCCATTTGGATGCTTTTCTACAGTTTCTCACCCTGGAATATACAAAACACATAAATGTAAGACATAACCCTCTTTTTCTTATTGTTTTACATTTTTTAAAAAAGATAATACTTAGCTTTAGGAGAGCATATTCAGTTTTTTGAAATCAAGAATTTCACAGTAAGTTCAAGTCATCTTTGTAAGCAAAAATTCAGCATTATGGCCCTATTTTTCATATGAGAAAACTGAGATCCAAGTGGTTAATGATGCCCTTGAGTTGATTTGGGAGATGGCAACTAGAAATTAGGCAATTTTCCTGATTCTTTGTCCAGTAACCCTTTCTCTGCCTACTGCAGGGATATGATATGAATACAATTTTGAATTCTGATATTATTCCAATAGCACCAGCTAAAGAGATAATGATAAAAACATCAGGAGATGAGACAAAGTCAACTAAAATAGTTATTAGCTTAACTATTTATATTGGTTCTGTTTCTTCAGCTTTCAGATGAGAAGAACTGGTATTTGTTTTCAAGGTTTTGTGATATGGGGAAAAAATGTGAGATTTGATTTAGTCTATTCTGTTTTCCTAGATTCCTGTCTCTAATCTGTTAATGATTGGGTCCATGGCCAAGATCAAATTCTTATTTTGTTCTCTGGCTTATAAGGTTTAGCTGACAAATGTCATAGATTTGTGAGGATTAAATGAGATATTTTATGTAGAAGAGCCTGGCAAATAGTAAAGAGCTACAAAATGTCAGTCTTTATCAGCATCAGAATTACTGTTAGCTGGTATTTCTAATGCTATTGGACAAGAATTATAACAGACCATGTTAATATTCCTTTATTAAAAATCTTATTTGAAAAACTTGAATGACACTATACATTATTTGTATTTTTTTTTAGTGATAACCTTTCAAACAGTGGATCCTTTATAATGATTACAAAATGGACTAAAAATACCAGGTATCCACTGTACAGTTGTTAGGCTTATATGATATTAAGTCAGAGGCACTCTGCATAAATTACTCCCCAGGGAGTAACTTACACGTGGGGAGAATCTGCTTCAATAAGTTCTTAATTATAAAATGATCTAACTCTAAAGGAAATGAAAATAGAGGTAATTTGCCCCCTAGGGTGTGAGAAGATGTTTTTGAAAGCCACAAAGGTTATCTTATACAACTTGGAAAATACAAATGGGATAAGGAATGATTCGATAGAGCATCTGCATATTTATACATATTTATTATCCCAGCTCAACATGTAATCCTGAAGAACCATAAACATTTTAACAGTATTTTTAAAGAGAAAGAAAAAGGTCTATGGGTGTTGCTATGTGTGGGAAGGGATTACCAATTTGGAAAACCTATGACCGTTTTTACCTATTACGGCAGAACACGTCATCTGAGGCATATTACAAGTGAAGATAAATTTAAATAATTCAAAGGACTAATCCTTTTCCCTCATTTAAAATAAACTGCTTCTGAGCTATATCATAGCTCATACTATGTATTTTATAAAGCATGTCTTCAAGGCAGAGTATTTCAGACACTGATCAGGACAACACACATTATTGCTCCAATGGACGCTCCTAAATGTCTTGCCATTACACCAGCCATCATGTGGCAGGCAGTTACCTCGCAGTGAATGCAGATCTGGTGACATGCTATTTATCATGGTTTCAAGCTGAACATCTAGGGAGGATTTGGTGGCTTGGACCACAACAGCTGTGACTGTGAAGGTGCTCTAAGGAAACTCAGGGCAGGGGGAGTTCAACTTTCCTACTTTTGTGTGACTCCTGGATTAATTCAACAATAGTATTCTCTGAGGAGCTGGAATGCCCTGAGAGGTGGCTTGAGATATGCTCATTTCACAGTTTTTCCATTTCTTATATCTTCTGCTCACTTCCATTTTTCTATTGTAATCCTCTGTGGAGACTAAAGTTAAAATTTTATTTACCAACTAGATCTTTTTGTTTATACAAGCAATCATATATAGTATTTTGGAAATGATATTCATACAATATCAAAGAATATCATGAAAGATTTAAAAGAATTTTGGATGTTTCACCTTATAGAAGATCACGTTATGAAGTACAATTTAATACCCCATGATTCGGCAGGCAGGTCCTATTCAACAATTATAAACTAGTCACAGTTTGTCTCTTCTTCGAAGATGGCAGTCCTCTCCTCTCCCCCCCAGTACCTCCTGAAGGCTCTCCCTTGCTTAGAGCCCTTTACTATCACATTGCACAAAGCCACCGTGTGTGCAATGCTTCCTGATGATTGAAATGTACATGTCTTTTGTTCTCCCTCAGAACCCCCTGCTGCTGAAGGCAGGTGTGAGGTTAGATTAATCCAGGCAAATGCATTCACTAGGAAATGCATCACTTTGATGCATCAAAATAGCTTAATTCTTAAAAGAATCCACCAGGAATGGTAGTAATAGTAGACTGTTCAGGTACTCTCTGGTTGAAGGGAACATTTTTACTGCATGTGTTCTTGTGGCTCTTGATTCCCCATTCCAACTCCTACAACTCAACCTGGCCACTTTCATCGTCTGGGCATTTTAAGTCCATGGAGGAAAGGGTCCGGGTAATATTTTTATTATTTTATAGAAAGATTTGACACAGTGAGAGAGAGAGAGTGAGAAAGAGAGAGAGGGAAAGCGAGCACACAAGCAGGGGGAGTGGCAAGCAGAGGGAGATGCAGAAGCAGGCTCTGCTCAACGAGACGTGGGGCTCAATCCCAGGACCCTGGGATCATGACCTGAGCTGAAGCTTAACTGACTGATCACCCAGGCATCCCAATATTTTTTTTTTTAATTTTCTACTGAGACCAAAAGAGAATTTGTATAACTCCTAAAAGCGGTACTCCTAATTTTCTTTCTTTCAGTACAACCAAGAGATTCAACATATTCCCTTTTATAAAAAAGGCTTTAAGCAATACTGATTTCCCACATTTGGGGTGAGAAGAAGTAATCAAAATCTTGAGATTGGAATGGATATATATTTTGGAATAGGTCCCCAAGTGATTCTGCTACAGTAAGGCTCCCATTGAGGATTAAATGAATCAAGGTGTGAACTAGGAATTCTCTGCAGCATGTGAACTGCCTGCAGAGGAAATAAAGCCCAGGGACAAGCCTATAATCCGAAAATACTAAGGAAGGACCAAGAGTTCTCTGTTTGCTGACCCTTGGTTTGGGCTATACTTTTAGCATCTTTTGTTTTCTGTTTTTTCTTTTTAAAAAGATTTATTTATGTGAGGGGGGAGGGGCAGAGAGCGAGGGAGACTCTCAAGCGGACTCCCCACTGAGGGCAGAGCCAGATGAGGGGCTTGATCCCAGGACCCTGAGATCATGATCTGAGCCAAAATCAAGAGTTGGATGCCTAACAGACTGAGCCACCCAGGCACCCCCTTTTTTCTTTTCCTGAAGGGAAATGAGAAGTATTTGTCCCACCTACAATAACTTCCATTCCCGGATTGTG